TTTTGAAACGGAAAATCGCCTTCTACATCTTTTACTCAATGCATCGACCCCCAGAGCGCACTGAATGGATTTTATTGCTGCCCTTGAATTGAAACCTTTTCGAAACTCGTAGAGTACAACATTTTTCATGCGTTCTTTAGTTGGGGCGAATACAGGGGCAGTTTCTGAACTATATTAATAATATAATATAATCTGAAAGATAAATGCATGTTTTAATCATAGTAGCGTTTCTAAGTGCCATAAAGAAGCGATATTTTAAGAAATTTGATTCAACATTTTCACCTTAAATATCAAACAACCTGATATAAAAAATTAAATCAATAATCAAGATTTACTATAGCATATCCACCCTTGTGCAAATTAATTGAAACAAAACCAATAATTCCGTTATTATTTAATTTTCTTTTCTTTTTTTTGTTGTATTTTTCCAATGAAACATGACCCAGTGCACACGTTAGTACTTCGTATGTCCATTCCATGAAGTAGTTCTTTGCAGACTGACCACAGATTCTCGACTGGATTTAAATCAGGAGAGTTTCCAGGCCAGTTTATAGTACTTTGATTTGCTAACTGGTAAGGCTTGACAGTGTATTCGTGCAGTGTTACAATTTTTGTACATTTCCTTGGAGTAATGTCCATCGCAGACAATCACCATAAGACAACTAATTGACAGTCGAGACAATAGTGTCTGGTTGTGATAAAAATCTGATGCTATCACGGATGACGCAATATTTTTCAAGGTCAAACAAATTTCATCCTACACCCTGAAAGTAGATTTATATTACTACACATCACTGCAAATGACATGATCTGAGGAAAACTGGCCGTATGGTGAAAGAAAGGAAACTAAAGCGGTTGTTTCAATTAATTTGCACAAGGGTGTATCTTCAAATTTATATGTAAGTTACTCTAGAAAGAATATTTTTCAACAAACAAAATAGTCCAAAATGTGAGTTATGTACTGAAAAATCAAATACGTATAAAATATTCCCTATCAAGGTAGATTACTAACAGACGACGAAAAATCTGACACAGAAATTAGAAGGCGCACAGGAACAGCGAAGGATGTCTTTCAGTAACTACCGTAATTACCTTGTATAATACGAATTTTTTTCTAAAAAATAAGCAAAATTAGGGGTGCGTATTATGCACAGCTACAAAAAGTTTTAAAATTTGCCGTTTCGTAGGTCGATTTCAGTGACGAAATGTCTACACACCACAAACATATGGCAATATGACACTAACATTCGATGATTGCGAACTCATACGGATGTCAAATACAATCGTATGTACCTAACAATACTTACAAATGTAAAATAAAATAAAAATTATCCTAAAACTAAATTAGAATAATATTATTCGATGTTCAAACCATTTTTTATGAAAAACTACCTACGGATCCGGTAGATTGCATATTTTATTGAACAAAAACAGGTTTAATGAGTCTGCGCAGTAGGCACAATATAGGTATTTCCGTTTCCTTTTAAAATCGTGATGATCAGGAATTTTGATTAATATCTTTAATTACAGCTTTAATAAGAGAAGGAAACGTTGGTCGTAATTAGAGAGGTACAATTTATAAGGTTTGATTACCAAACAAGGGTGCGTATTATGCATGAGTAGAAGCATTTCCCACACTTTCAGCACAATTTTAGGGGTGCGTATTATACATGAGAAATTACAGTAAGTAAATTATTAAGTGATAGGAAAACAAAACAGAAGAGATGGATAACAAAGCAAAGTTTATAAAACAGCTGTTTAATATCTACTAATGTCCAATATGGCATGGAAGGAAATGCTGAACAAACTCCTAATAGGGATGTGTTTCTACTGACTAACGTTGAGAATAATCAAGAACAGAACTCCGGAGTAACGAGCAAGAAGTTTTAAAGAAATTAGACACTACAAGAAAACTGCTTTAAGCAACCACAAAGAGAAACCTGAAATCTCTGATAACACAACGAGGAAAGAGATCCTGGAGAATTTAACCCTAAAAGAACATAGTGAGAGAAAGATGGAAGGGAAGAAAAAAGTGTAGCGAAGAAAAGATTTAACACAATACAAGGTGATGAAATAATATATGATTCTTCTTTTATGTGCCGTGTCCTTTCAGGACGTTAGCGTTCATGGCCCTCCACGCCTTGTGGCTCTTAATATGTTTTGCCTTTTTGTTATTTCTTCCGAACCGTGTTCTGTCATCCATTTGTTCAAGACTGTGAGTATCATATTTTCCAAGCCCTCCTACCATATTTCGTGCCCCATAAATTTCAACTGCCGCTTCCTGTAAGTTTCCTTTTTGTTTCTATTTTCCTAAAATCTCATTGTTGTTCAGCTCATGTCATCCTCAGCATGCTCCTGTAGAACGAATTTTGTTGCTTTAATTATCTTCTTCATCTTTGAGGAGCTTGTCCAGCATTCACTGCCATACAGAAGGACAAATATCACTTAAGAGTTCGGTACTCTTTTCTTTGATTCCAACGAATGGAATACATTTTTGACTGTCGCAATACGTGTTCGGATTTCAGTGTCGCACTTTCCGTCCTCTGTCAGAATACTTTTTACACGTTGAAATATTTTGTAGCTGCTTGATTTTAGTTTCTCCGACTTGTAATTCATATTTTGGATTCATCCTTTTTACTGATAGCCAGTGTGGGAGATACTAAAATCAAGCAATCGAAATATCTCAATCTATAAAATGCAGGATGTGTGTGTGTGTGTGTGTGTGTGTGTGTAACGAATGCACGGCCGCAATTTTAGACGGATTTGCACCAAAATTCACATGCACATGCTCCAAGTTAGTGGAAAGGCCAAGACCAACTTTGCATTTCCCAACTCCCATCGATAGTGGAAATAATCGATTTTTCATGCTTCTACGGCAGTTTTCATGTAGTTTGCGGACATTTTCTACTGGCCAGAGTGAGAGCCTATAGCTGGCTGCCACGAATAGACATGAAAATTCTACTGGCCAGCGTGAGAGCCAACAGCTGACTGACACGAATGCAAAAAGAAATTGATAGCTGCATTCGTCACAAATGGGGAAAATTTAAATCTGCATGGCACTTTATTCCAATTGGCTCATTCGCTTGCTTAAACTCAACGTTGATTCTGATTCCGCAGAACTGGGTTGGCTGTGAAAAAGTATTTGTTGTTAACATTCTTTTTTCATTCGGTTTTTCCAGTTACGAGTCCTTTTTTAAAGCTGATCGTTTTGTGTTCATTTTGTTTAGTTCTTTTTTTGTAACAGATTTAATGTTTAGCATAGAGCTTAGAAAAAATTCGCAGTGTGAGATAGGCAAGAAGTAAGGCATGTAGCAACATCAGCATGGCAAAGGGCACTCCTTTAAAGGCAAGGAAGGGCAAAAATATTTTAAGTCAAGTGATATCGATTGCTGTCGTACGATTTTTGAATCAAGCACGGGCAACGCCGGACCATGCTGCTAGTGATAAATAAAAAAAGAGACTAAAATGAAAGGAAAGAAAAGGAATGATGGAAAACGTATCGAAACAAGGAGTAAAAAAGAAGCAAAAAATGGAATAAAGAAAAAAATTAAAGAAAACGGGCGGAGGCGAGAAGTAAAAAAGAAAGGAAAAAATAAAGAAAGGAAAAGAAAAACAGAAACAAAAAATGAACAAGAAAATAGATTGAAAGAAAAGAAAGAGAAAAACTGAGAAAGAAAAATTACAGAAAACGAAGCAAAAAAGAAAGAAAAATAAAGAAAAAACACAGAAAAAGAAAAGGATAGAAAAAGAAGCATTTCAGGAGGGAAGAAAAAGTAATAGAGAGAAAAGAACAAAAAAGAAGGAAAGAAAATAGACAGAAAAAGGAGAAAGGAGAAAAGGATAGAAACAAAAGGCAAAAAGAAAAGGAAGGAAAAAAGAGGAACGAAAAAAAAAAAGAGAAACAATGGAAAGCACCAGGGTACAGGGAGGAAATGAAAGTTAAAAAAGAAACAAAGGAGAAATTCACCAAAAGCAAGTGAATGAAAGAATTCATCAAATCTAGAAAAAAAAAAAAAAAAAAAAGCAAAAAAAACAGCATCTATACGTGAAACCAAAACTTAAACGAAAGATAAAAAAAAAATTAAAAGAAAGAAAGAAAAAATAAAGAAACTGGCTCGGTTTTTGAAATTCGCTTGATTTCTATAATATTGGCACTCGTTTCAAATTCCCTATTAATTTTAAAATTCTGTTTGAATTAATCTTTTCTCTCTCTTTTATATGAACCTCTTTTCATATCGACCCTTATTCACACAAAACCTTCTTTTTATCGTGTTAAGATCACTTCTATAACGAAACCCTTTTCCTCTCACTGATCACTTCCGGTCGTGACAACAACTTCATTCTGTCTTTAGAAACAAGTCATAACTCGCGATTTGTCAATCGTCTGCTCGGTAAAATCGGCGCCATTGTTTCATAAAACGAGTATCACTACAAAACTTGACTGTAAGCGCCCACTGCTGAAATAAATGATAAATGAATAACATGAAATGACATAATTATAAAGAAGGAGAAAGAAATAAAAGGAGAAAGAAAGATAGAGAGATAGAGATAGATATAAATATATAAATAAAAGGAGGGAAAAAGAAAGAGATAAAACTGAGAAAGCAAGAAAGATGAATGGGGTAGACTTGAGAATAAATTGTAGCGGCAGGGGGAGAATAAATTTGATTTAGTTAAAATAAATAAATAAGACAAATAAAGCCTAAAGTTTTCTTTTCTAATATGGCAGGAATATTTTCTTCCTGCTTAATAAAATAATGCTACTGTTACAGTTACTACTACTACTACTACTACAAATAATAATAATAATAATAATTATTATTATTATTATTATTATTAGAAGAAGAAGAATAAGAAGAAGAAGAAGAAGAAGAAGAAGAAGAAGAATAAGAAGAAGAAGAAGAAGAAGAAGAAGAAGAATGATAATAATATGCTTATGCCTCTGGCCGCTTTCATTTCTAAAAAAAATATGCTACACTTTCAATTCTAAATCCGCCATAATGGAAGTCTTTCTGCTGCCATTTTTACGGATTTTTATTTTTCTCCGAATTTTTTCAGTCATTCTTTCTTTCTCTTTGTTTTAAACCTTTTCTCTTAATGAAATTCTTCTAATTTTAACTGATTTTCTTTCTTTATTAAAACGTCTTCCTTTCTTCAATTAGCCACTTTCTATTTTAAAAACATTTTTTTCTAATCCTTAACGACCTTCAATTGCTTGTTTATTCTCCCATTCATCCATTGAGTCTTTCTTTAGATCCCAAACCCTTTACTTTCATGAACTTCTGTCCTTCAATTATTCTTTCTTAAGCCCATTTTATCACGAACTTCTAATTTTAACTGCTAATTTTCTTCTTTTTTTCTTTTTCTTTCATTCTTTCTGTCTTTCTTTCTTTCGTTTTTCTTAAGCCATTTCTTAGCCTAATTTCACTTTTATCTTGTTTCATTTAGTCACCCATCTTTTCTTTCTTCCTAGTTAAAGCTTTCTTTCTTTCTTTCTAGTCTTGCAGTCGGTAGATCATATGACACGTTTGGATTTGCGGAAAGGAAAAATATATTTTCTTTTTTTCCTTCTGTCCTTTCATACTTCTTTTTTTTTTCTTTGTTTTTGCATGCTTGCTTCCTTGCTTTCTTTCTTGTATTGCATTTCTTTCTATCTTTCTTTTTTCTTTATTTCGTGCTTGCTTTTTGTCTGCTTGCATTGTTGCTTTCTTTCATCCTTCTCTTATATCGTTCTGTCTTTCTTTTATCATTCCATTGTACCTTTCTTTCTTTGCTTCTTAAACTGTCTCTTCGCTTAATTCTGATTTACCAATGCCTCCTTCCATTTAGTTAATTTCCATTTCTTTTTCTTTAAACATTTTTAAAATGAATTTTCGTTCTTAAAGTTCGCTTTTCTTTCTACTTATCCATTCTTTCTTTCTTTCTTTCTTTCTTTCTTTCTTTCTTTCTTTATTGCAGCATTTTACTTACATTCTTTTTTTTTTTCCTGCTAATTCTTAATTTCTTCATTTCCCACTCTCAGCTTCCATTTATCAAAGAATGTTTCTTCACAAAGTTCTTCTAATCTCTAAAAGCTTCTTCTAAGCGTTCATTTATTCTTTTAATTCTTTTACTGAATTGTACTTTCTTTATTTTGTCAAAAGTGTAACGGCAAAATTGTTCCTTGTTTCTTTTCGGTTTTTAAACTGCTTCCTCTTTCTTATTTTTTGATGTTACATTTTATATCTTTCGAAATATACTGTATCTGCCTATACACCGATATTTTATATGATAACTTAAAACACAGAAGGGAGTGTTATATAACAGGTGTAACAGCAAAATTGTCCAAATTGTGTAACAGCAAAATTGTCCAAATCGTGTAACATCAAAAATGTTCAAATTGTGTAAAAGAAAAGATGTCCAAATTGTGCAACAGTAAAATTGCCCAAATCGTGTAACAGCAAAATTGTCCAAATCATTTGAAAGCAAAATTGTCCAAATCATGTAACAGCAAAATTTTCCAAATCATGTAACACCAAAATTGTCTAAATCATGTAACAGCAAAATTGTCCAAAACGTGTAACACCAAAATTGTCCAAATCATGTAACAGCAAAATTGTCCAAAACGTGTAACACCAAAATTGTCCAAATCATGTAACAGCAAAATTGTCCAAAACGTGTAACAGCAAAATTGTCCAAATCATGTAACAGCAAAATTGTTCCTTGTTTCTTTTCGTTTTTTAACTGCTTTCTCTTTCTTATTTTTTTGATGTTCCTGTCTATTATCGGTTTTATACAGTTTTTTTTACATTTGTTTCTTTATGAAATTATGACTTGTCATTTCCCCTTCATAGCCTATCCTTTTTCATGAATAATTTCTAACAGTTTTTTTTTTTTTTTTTTTTTACTAAGGTGCCTTATTTACTGATAATTACTATATTTATCATAGGTTTACACAAGACCAATTAGGTGGATAGAAAGGAGGGAATATTATGTCATGTCAAGCATTGAATAGTTTTAGGGTCCGCCTAAACAGCATTCGAAATAAAGCAGCATGAATGTTTTCGGTGAGTACATTAATGACTGAAAATCTATTAATACGGTAGCCATCAATTAGATTGGCCACTATTGGCATATATATATATATATATATATATATATATATATATATATATATATATATATATATATATAAAATTTAATTTAAAAGAAAAGTAGACCACTTTAAGACACCATTTGTAACAATTTATTTCACCAAAGAATTTTTATTTTTCTCTGGATCTTCAGACTTCACTTTCAAAAGGTGAAACGAAAAAGGAATTTAAAATTTACATTTTTGACTGCCAGTATTAAGTTTATATAATTTGATATAGAGGGTGGGGAGGAATGGTGTGAGAGACATGGTTGAATTTAGCGAGGGAAGGGAGAGTTTTAAAATTTATTTTTGTATTTCTTTTTATTATAATACTTAATATGAGGAAGGAGGGGGTAGGATCAGACATTGACCTATTTAATCAGTCAACTCAACGGAAATGATGTGGAAAAAGAAAAATGAGAATATATATATATATATATATATATATATATATATATATATATATATATATATATATACCGGGTGTTACATTAAAATTGTTCAATTCCCCATGTGTTAGATTAAGCTTTGTATCTTAGAAATGATTAAGGTATTCAGAACACTATTGGACTCTACACTGAACAATAGGAATATATTTAGCTCTAAGTTGAAGTGATGATCCCTCTTCGTGTTGTGTCCTCCAGATCCAGTTTTCCTGTCTACTGTTCCCCCTCTTTTTTAAAGTTATTCACCATTCTCGTCATGGTTCTTGAATGTACTTTGGAGACGGCAGCCAGAGTACGAATGTTGGTACCATTAGTGAAGGCCTAAATCATCTTTTTCCTCTCACCATTGCTCAATTGAGAAAACATAGTGGGGTTGACACAAAACGTTTTAATCTGTCCTTCTTCTAGCTTAATAACTGAAAGGGATTTTCAGTAATTCTTACGACAAATGATGCCAAGATGGGTAAATGTCTTATATAAAAACCTGGAAAAAAAGAAACTCAATTATTTTAGTGGATATTAGATATTAAACATTTTGTGGGATGGGCAATTATACCATGCTGTTAAACCATTTCGACAATTTTACTGTTACACCTGATATATATATATATATATATATATATATATATATATATATATATATATATTTATGAAGAATATATTTATGGGATAAATTGGTCAATATCAGAGCGTATGTAAATATAAGAGTGAACAGTGAAGTCAATATTCAGAGGGGGCAGGCCGTTTCATGCTAATTCTATAGCCTGACGATTGCGTTTAGCATGAAACAGTCTGTCGCATCTTAGTGTTGACTTCAATGTTCACTTAAATATCTATCTATCTAGCTATCTATCTATCTATCTATATATATATATATATGTGTGTGTGTGTGTGTGTATGTGTGTGTGTAAGTGTAAGTGTAAGTGTGTGTGTAAGTGTGTATGTTATTACTTATTTTTAGTGCATACTGTATTTGTGTAGGTATTTCGTTTATTTATTAAACGGTATGCTTATTTTTTTTCTAAATGCCAAAATGTTAGACAAATCTTATTAAAAGATAATACGCACTCTCCGGCAGGATGCAGCATAAACTTTAATAAATATACTGTTTAATAAATAAATGGCGCGTCTCATCAAATACAGGTATCCACTGCAAATAACGTTTAAGTAATAAAATCTGTCGGATTAATAAGTAAAAAATCCATCTCTTATTTAGAAATTGCTTTGTTTACGTTAGAATACGAAATTGAACGGATATGGCTGGTTTTAAACATTAAGAAAAACTTTCATTTATAAGGTACTATTCAATCTTTGCTTCATCACTGACGTGACCGATACGGTTAAAGCACACTAACGACAGTTACTTCTGCCAAAGGGGACACAAGTTTGAATCCTACCAGAGAACCCATTTCGTCCTTTAATAACATTTCTCTAACATTCAAGTCGGTAGACGAAAATAAATAAAGATACTGTTTAATAAATAAACGGCGTGTCTACTGAAACATGGGTATCCATTACAAATAACAAGTAATAAAATATGTTGGATTAATAAATAAAACCAAATATATGGCAATGAATACTGGGCAATCTTCTCATGAAGAAGAGACGAGAGGCAACAGAAATGAAGTTCTATAGAATGATACTGAGGATACCATGGACTTAACATGCGAGCAACGACGAGGTTTTAGAGAAAATAGAAACAAAAAGGAAACTTATACTTAAAATAAGGAAAAGAGTTGAAATTTCTAGGGCACATTATGAGAAATAAGGGTTTGGAAAACCTGTTACTGACAGAACAGGTTGAGGTTGAGAGAGACAGAGGAGAGCAGTATGAAACATACTCAATAAGCTTGAGTAAATGGATGGCGGAACAGGGTTTGGGAGAGATAACGAAAAGACAAAATTTAAAAAGAGCTACAAAGGACAGGAAAGTGTGGAGAGCCACGATCGCCTACTTCCTGAAGTTACAATGCACATAAAGATGAATAGAGGCTCTAATTAACATTGAATTAGTTATGCATCTCACATCGCATAGCCATCTTTCATATAAGCAATATAGCTTTCACGTCTCTAGGTCAACTGCTGATGTATTAATGATCATTAAGAAACTACAAAGCTTTAGATAATAATGATGAAGCTCGGGTTGTTGCTTTGGCTATCTCGAAGGCATTTGACAGGGTTTGGCACGCTGGTCTTCTTCACACGTTGAAAGGTTATGATATTTCTGGACGAATGTTTCATCTGATTCAATATTTCTTATAACGATCGCGAAATGAATGCTGTCTTGAATGGCTACTCTTCTAGATCTATTTGCTTTAATGCACGTCTCTTTCGAGCTATATTGTTCCTAGTTTTCATCAACGGCATTTCTGATATGATCGGTTCACAACTTCATATCTCTACTGATGACGCAACTATTTACTCCTGTCTTAATAGTAAGTCTGATCGACAGGGTCTCACCAATTTACAGTTGAAATGGGTAGATGCGACCGTAAGTTCTATGTTAACCGTTTCTTCTCTCGCGCTTCCCCCTTGTGGAACCCTCTCCCCGTTTCTTGCTTTCCAATTGTTATGGGACCTTACCCATAATAACATAATGGACTATTCCATACGTAATAAATATTGCGCCTCAAGAGGAAGCAGAGAGTTCAGTCTGAAGTCGGGCGACCGGCTGACCGGCTGATCGGTTGGATTCTCTGCCTTCGGGAACCCGAACGAGGCTACGCCGAAGGGCGGAGTCTCTTTCGGGGAGGTAAACCGAACCTGAACCTGTTTATACGGGTTCAAAGGGCATATTTTTGGCCGAGTCCACGGGTTCGAAGTTCCCACGTTAAACCGGCCTTGTGCCACATGATACCCTCGTGGGTGTGGGGTGGTGACTAAATACTGTTCAGTCTTAAGTCTGGAGTGAGGTCCGTCAGAAGTCCGTCAGGAGTCTGTCAGTCAGTCAGAGCGAGTGAGTCAGTCAGTCGAGTCAGAGGCAGCCTGAAACAGAGTCGCGTTCAGACAATTAATACAAGACATTGGAATAGTGATACTGGTCGAGACTACATTGTTCTCCCTACAAAACCTGATTGTTCGTACTAACATTTTCTACTTCTCTGTACATATTCCTGTTTGTAATATATCTGTGTTATTCCATATACGTGTTCGAGTTCTTCTTTATTGGTTCTACCTTGGACTATCACCGTGGTACTAGGAACCGTACCATAACACCAATCAACTGTGATCTTCAAAAATATAGATTGACTGTCAATCGTTATCTGCCGTTTTCTTAATTCCTGTTCTTTTATTGCTCTTCCAATAATTTTTTTCATATATTCTCTCACACGGAGTAACTCCTATTATACGTAAAAAGATAGCAGAGCGAGAAAAAGAAGAAAGCAAAAGTTTCTTAGAGCTAAAAATGGCGGGAAGCTGTAAAGAGCCATGACCACCCACATTCTAAAGGGGCGTAGCCACATAACATATAAAAGGAACCATTTTAAAATTGTTTTTTTTTTA